AGAAGGAACGATTGGCCATCGGTGATCGGTCCTCTGGGAACAATGCTCCGTCCTCTCGAGGACGCGTGGTCAATGATCTAACCGCTAAGGCATGCGAAACATAAGAGTACGCCCCCCCCCCGGCTTCACCGTCATCGCATCCCTGACCCCCCCCCTCGCCTCTGTCATTGGTGCTTCTCAGCGTGGGGGAACGTAGTCAAGTCAATCTTCTCCGACACCAATCTGGTGGTGGCCGGCACCGTTTTGACGCTGGCCCTGAACCTAGCATTCGAGGAGGGCGCGGGGCCCCGCAGGCTGGCGGGGAGCATATCGGGCGCGCTCGGTCTTTTCTCCCCCTCGTTCCAGGGGTCGGAAGAAGGAGACTACTCCGGTGGCGGCGGCGACTTGAAAGAGCTGTGATACTCTCGTTGCTCGCCCGCTTTGTTGGTCTGAGCTCAGGGACACCTGGCGCAAGTTGTTGTAGTCACCATCCCTTATAGGTGGACTTGGTACGTGTTTCCATCCTGTATCCGTTGTGACTATTATTTTCTCCGTAGGGGTGTCTCCTTGATGTCGAGAGGGCAAGGGCAAGACGAAGGCGGCAGGTACACCGGTCATGAGTGGCTATCATACAACGGAAAGCCTTTTATGGCTCCATGATGCATCGTTTTTTTTTTCGTGCGTAAGGGCTCACGACGTTTTGTGAGCCGTTTTTCTTGTCTGTTGCAACTTGTCTGCCGTCATGTTCTTTGTTCCCGGAATATTGTAGCCGCTGAAAGCTGCGCACGGCGTTTGCCGGCTGGGGCGTTCGTTGTTTGCATGATGGTGAGAGTAAGAATGGAAAGCTGTAGGCATTGCAATGGGGGGCAGCGGCAGCGGCACTCGGCAACGACTGAAAAAAGTTGCGGTATGTAACGTCTTCCATCATCGGAGAGATCAGTTGTAGTTAGCTTTTGATTGGACAACCGTGTCGGAGTAATCTGTATGTAGACGCCTTTGTTTTTACAGGTTCTGGTCGGACACAACCTCCGTCTTTTTGGCCACAGGGCACATCACCATTGTACTTCGTTATTTGGAGCACTAACGTACACTCGTGTGTGGGGATTGCGCCCACGAATCTGCTTGTGTTCCTGCTGTTGAGTGTTTTTTCCCTGTTGTTTGTTTCAAGAACTCCCTGCCTCTGTGGACGCGACGGTTAGGTTGCTTTTCGCTGGTGTGTTGAAGTCGGGTTCACAGGGCAGAGGTTGGTTTGGGGAAGGGGGGATACTTGACGCTTGATGCTTGACGCAGCAGCAGCAGTGCCGGGTTCGAATCAGACAGCAACAAAACAAGAATAATAATAATAACGCTCCGCCAGCTCTTTTTTTTTCCTACTTCTCCTCCATTTCTTTTATATTTCTTAATATGACACAACGAATCCATCTCTATCATTTGTCTCCTGCTGTATGTAGTACCGGAGGCGGTGGCGTGTGCGTCAGGTGCTCACCGTCTTATTTCAATGGCCGTGGTCGCCTGAAGTTCTCATTTTTTTTTCTCAGCAGCTCGCTCTCGCCGGCGCGATTGCGATGATAGTTGTGGCTTCTTCTCGGTCGGGTTAACTTTGCTCGCTCCCCCCCCGGTCGTGTTGTGGTGCTGCGGTGGGTCGACAAGCGGGGAGGGTGAATGGCCTCAGAGCTGCTCGTTTCCATCCTTGCGTAAATCCGCTACTTCTACACCACCCTTTGTTTTCTGCGCTGTTTGTTCGTATTTTAGATGTATATGTATGTTTTTATTTCGAGTGGTTGGTGCATACATAAGTAATATAATACTATTTATACTATAAATATTGCTGTATGCTCGCAACGACACACACAAAGAGGCAGCGCACCCACCCACATCACTTCTTACTGCATGTTTATGACTAAACATATATATATATATATATGCATACCACAAAAGCATACACAACCCAGTATTGTTCTCATATATATTACGTAGACAGACGTACATCGAGTCTCAACTTACGACTATTATTATTGATCCCCAGGGTTTTGTCACCGGTCTCCCCGTGTACATTTACGTGGTATAACATTTCTTCATCATCACGAGGCAGAAGGATGATGATAACTTGCTCGCCCAAAGGGTTGAACTCATCATCATGTGCGCATACAGATCGATCAATAAGATGCCGAAACGGATACGAAATTTTCCTAGTACTGCACTACTGCTGTACATGTAAGAAGTGAAAATTTGTTGTCCCATCGCCTTTGGGTCTCATCCATCCATCGGTGGATGTATGTATGTAGGCATAAACAACAACCGCCGTAAATATTAACGTTGGGGTCCGTTCGTTGCTGTGTGGGAGGATATCATTGCAGCGGGGAGTCAAGATAGGAGGAGAGGGGGGAAGATTTTTCTTGCTGACGTGCGCAGATCGGCACTAGGGCATCATCGTACCAAACATGAGCGTCGCGTAGACCGCGGCCGTGCTGCTGCAAAGAAAGTCAACCATTGCGCCATCGTTTCGAAAAAAAAGTCGAAAAATAAGATTAAGAAGATTTGATTGATTTGGACGCATGTCATGTTTGTTTCCCGTTCGTTTGCTGTCTCTGTATGTGTTGTTGTGCCCGGTTGCATCCGTCTCTGTCTCTATCTCGTTCTCTCTCTCGTTCCTTCTCTCTGGAACAGATATGTGCAGCAGCAGTCGCTTGGATGCTGCCTCCATTTCCTCCCGCCGGAGTAATTTTGTATGCCGCGAGCTATAGCTGAAAAATGCACTTCAAAAATGTAACGTTAATAATAGAAATTGCGCTCGAGAACCAATTACCGGTAGATTGAAGACTTTTCGGAGACTCACGAAAAAAAAAAAATTACCAGGAAGCGCGGTCGATGCTCAAAACACACACACACATCGACAACAACCCACGCCCTTGTCCGATTAGACAGCTGCAGAGCACACCGAAAAAGCGTCAACCCCACCCGGCCCAAGCAGTGCGGCACGAGGAAGAGGAGGGGGGAGGAGTTCTCCGAGTGCGCGCGGGGCAGCACAGCGGAAGACAACCCACACGCGAGGAGCGACGGCGGAGGAGATAGAGAGGAGAGAGAGAGAGATCGGAAACAGGGCTAGCTCTCCCATAGCAAGATGGCAGGAGACGCCAGCCTTGGCATCACCCCGGTCATGAAGTGGAACTTCGAGCGCAGCTGGTGAGTGTCTCACCGAATGTGTTGTGTGTGCCTGCTGCTGCCGCGGGCGGCTCTCGGCAAAGCCGGCGGAAGCAGCAGCTGTGGTGGGTGTCTTTTTTTCCAATCCCGAGCAGCGGCTAGACTTCTGCTGGTATACGTTTGCGGCTCTTGCTTGTTTCCGCTGGGATGTTGGGTACGGCTTTCACCGAGCCGACGATTCCTTGCTGCCCGCCTGCGACCCGGCGAATGCCCACGTGGACAGAGAGAGAGAAAGAGAGAGGGTCTGTTTGCATCCCAGCCCCCGTCGAGCCCGCGCCGCGCCGCAGGCCGGTGGTGTTGATCGAGGTTTGTGCGCTGGGACCGAAAGGGATAGATGCTGCATGGAAATGATCCTCACGGTCTTTCCACAGGCCAAATAAATATTTGGCATTTTGAGCAACTGCTGCCTCATTTTTTTCTTTGCTCTAGATTTACCCGGCTACCCGACCACCTCTCGCTCTCGAGCTTTCGGCCTTGACCCGCCCCCCCCCACGGGCGAGATAGCCGGTAGCGTCTAGAAGGGCGGCGGTGACCGATGAGCTAGCGGGCCTAGGCCCTGTGGGGGGCGGGGGCAGCAGTGTCTCCGTGGACCTTGTGCGCGTTTGTCTCTCTCTCCAGCTCCAGCTTGTGCACACAAAAAATATATACGATGTGATCGATGGAAACACGGCTTTTTTGGGTTGCGCGCCCTGGTGTCTCCGAGCGAAGGGAAGAGAGAGCGTGTGATGTTTGTTTTATCCCTTCCCTTCCCTGCAGAACCTACCGAATCCCCCCCCCCAGCCTGCCCCCGGCACCCCTCAAAGAGCTGCTATAATCTATTCCGGAATGCCCGATCGCTCGGTGCCTGGCCCCGGCGTCGTCGCTCTCGCCCCAAGAGACGACGAAAGGGGCGGCTCATGTTTTTTTTTTTTGCATCTTGTCTTGGGCCACAGGATATAAGTCATATATGTGGGTGTGACAACAAGGAAAATCTGACGCTTTCAGGGTGTGTGTGCTTCTTTTCTCTCGGGCATATTTTTCCGCGTGGGCAGCTTGTCCAACTGCCTTCTGTTGGTCATGAAGCCAGTAATGTCCACCCACACGAAAGTACCTCCGCGCAACGACAAAAAACCGTGCCATGCGCTCCGCTTCCTCCCCCTCCTCCTCTGTATGGTCTTGCTGCTGTTGAGCGAGCGTCAACCGGCCGTTGTCATCATCGAAGCAGACGTTGCCACGCGGCGAGCAAGCAATAGCCACGGACGCTTGCCGTACACAGTACACAGAGAGAGATGACGATCTCCGTCACATATTTGTGGTGTATCCATATTTTCTCTGCTTGGTCAACCATGACGTGTCGGATTCATATTTTTTTTTGTTCATTACATGCTGCTGCTGCTGCTGCTTCTGACTGCCCACTGCTTTCTGAAGCCAATGATGAGCTGTTTGTTTAACCGTGACCGAGGTCTCCTCTGCTTTTATTCACCCCCTAGAACCTCAACATCAAAACAAAGCAGCGTCCCATGATACATTCCACGATCGCCCCCTGCGCCAAAGAGGGCAGGAGGCTGAATGAGGGCACTCTGCAGAGGGGGGGAATCAACGAAAGCGAAGCCTTTCTGTTTTCGCTGGTCCGCCGCAATTTTTTTTATCGACTGATGCGGCTGCAAAATAGTGACGGACCTCTGGGCCTCTTTTGTTTTGCGGAAAGGGGAGGAAACAGCAGAAGTATTGTACGATTGATTGAACCCACAGGTAGGCGCGCTTTCCGGCACATAGCCTTGATTGTTCGCATCAGGCAGCAACGAGGTGTGCTCGGAAGTTAAGCGTTACGACCCAGCCGGACAACAACGTGTGGGGATTGATTCATTTCATTCGCGAACCAGAGGCAGCAGTCGGAAATGTTTTTGTCGGAAATGTTTTTGTCATCCAAGCACAGCAGTATTTTGGGCCGGAATTGTGGAACGTGGAACTTCACCTTGCGCCCGATCCGTTTTTTTCGGTATTGTTGGGCGCGCGGATGAACTATTGTCATGCTGTTGCAACGGTCCAAATGCTGCAGCTGTTTCTCCCTTGGCAATAGAGAAAGCGAACCAAACCCGCGTTTCCGCATCTTCACCAGGATGAGTTTAGGTGCTCTGCGGTGTACCGCAGCTTTTTTTTCGGCTCGTCGTGCACCCTCGCAAATTGCGTCCGCTGTTCCGTGTCCACGTGGAATGGGTGCCGGGGGCCAAGGTGTGTTCATGTGGATCAGTTGTTGCCGAACATGATTCCCGCCAACAAATGATTTCTTGACAAATTGCACGGCGGCGGGCAAAGGCGGATTTCTGACGTTGAACCTAAACCTACATACACTGATGGTGTGGTCAAGATCTTCGGCCGCGCGACTCTTGGGAACAACAACGAAGATTAAGATTGTGGGTGCAAGCACCTGGCCATGTACAGCAGCGAGCCTCACACCATTAGTTTTAGGGCGCTAGAGACGTACCCGACTCTCCCGTTAGAGCGGGTGTCCCAACGTTCGTATCACACACGCACACACGTGTATGTAAGTTAGAATTATAGCTGTGGTTGTTTGCTGTTTCCCCTTTGCCTTCTTTCGATAAGCGACCACCCCCTTGCAATTTCCACATTTCCACATGGATGCGTTTATTCTAAAACTTTGCTTCATCCTCCAGTCTCCGGTCTCCGCCACCCACCCCTGTTGCTATTTATCCTCTTTATCGTCACATGAGAGACCGTACCGATCTCTGCTGTACGTACCTTGTTTTACGTAGACTTGTCGTCCAACCGGCACGGACGCGCCGCCGATGCTAAATTATGCTAACTACCCGAGACGGTGGGCCGTGGATCTTTTTCGATATTTGAACGGGAAACAGAAGAGGGCTATTTAGCGACCACTGAAAAAACAATGAAACTTGAGCGCTTGACCCGGCCAAGACTACTGCTGTACGTTACCTTCAAACTCGGACTTGGGACGTGGTGATGCATATGCGGTCCCGGTTGAAAGCCTCAAGTCTGCGAGGGAGGTTGGAATTGTTGTGCAGCGGTAGAACAGTTGGGGAGTATTTATTATATGATACACACAGGGGCAGAGTTTTCTACCGTTCCTACCCGAGAAGCGAGTAGGCTAAATATGACCACCAATGCACTTGGAGAGAATAGGGGCGTTTTTTTTAATCGCTCGTCCCTTTTTAGGCTGCGTGAACGCCATGTTTGCACCGCTGCTGCGACGCCATTCCGGAAAACTGCCGCCGTCCATGAATCAGTTTCCAACGTAACGCGTTGCCCGTATTATTGTTGCTCCTGCGATGAGATGAGATTTCCATGGGAGAAATATGATAAATGGATGTCCCTCGCGCGCTCGGGAACGATATGTCACTACTGCTGCTGCTGTAGATATCCAGAATACAAAGGCTCTTTAGTTTGTCGCTCCGGCCTACACCTGAGGCTACTGCTGTAGTTCCTCGTTGACTCCGATTTTTTCGGGCTGCCGTGTAGTTGGATTGGTGTGCTGAATGAGGAACGCAGACTGCTGTGTTGTTTATTTTTAGTTCAAATATTGGGATGGAAAGCCTACTTGTATATATCCCGGTACAAGCGAAGTGCCAGTTGTAAACTATTTACGTATCATGCATACTGCTGTATGGATTCATTTTCCCCCCGAAAGCTGCAACAACAGTAAAAGTAGGAACCTCTCGGGGTAACACGTGGATGCTGCGTCCCGGTTGCAACAAACTACGAAGTCAAGTGTAGTTTCCGTCATATCTTCCCGAATACCGTGCCCGGCTGAGCTCTTTTTCGCAGGCCCTCTCCGCTGTCGACCTATTCAACGAGGGAGAGGACCTCTACCTAGTCCTAAGGAGATGCTGGAGATGACACATGCATGTTGGGATTATGTTAACATACAGTGCGTATCGAACAGCAAGGACTACACCAGCGTACATGGTGTCTGTGGATTATCCTCGCAATTCCATGTTGGTTGTAATAGTCACAACCAGGGCTCTCCGGGTGGACGGACACACGTACTAAGTTCCTTACCCGTTGTACTTAAACACATCGATTCTCAACAAATAGACGTACCGAGTAAATCTCCCTCATGGTTGATTCACAGCAGTGCCAACGAACCAAGGAGAAAGAGAGTAAATATTCTGAGATGCGCCTGCCCGTGGTACGCCATAGCCTCGTATTGATGGTTGTATGCATACACCGAGAAGGAAATGTGCACTTTTTCCTTTTTCCGCGACGGAGGAAGATGCGTCATGTTTGAAGATGCTCATCTTTGTTCTTGTATCTTTATCTTTATCTTTCCGTCTTGCCGGTAGTAGGCTTCGGTCCCGGTATTTTTGTCGATTCCTACACATGATCCGTTCCCCCGAAGTGGGCTGGCTCATCATGAGAGCACTACCGCGGTTGTGATGCACTATGACAAGATGACATAGAGCAGCATGGCAGGAACCAGCCCACGGCTGGCTATGGGTTGTGACGTCCCCCCCAATCTCTCAGCGAACAGCACACGCACCTTTGACTCGATGAGCCTGCCTGCGAACCTCGATGAACCAACCGAAAAAGCAGCAGCCTTTTCCCACGCACTGCTTGGTCTTTTTGCCTTTTCATCTTTTTTTCGCGTGCCTGTGGTTGGCACCGGTAGTCTCGTTGAGCAGATATCGTACATATTTCTCTGGTGCGGCACAACACACATCGTTGGCGTGCTGTGCGTTGTTTACCTCGATCCGCACACTTGGCTTGGGCGAGTCCCCCGCACAAACACGTGTAATATGATGGTATCTGACCCCGCCCCGGACCTGCCCCGCTGTCTCGCAACAACAAAAAAATCAGTTACCGCTGGCTGGTGACACGACACCCGGCCCAATTCGAGCGGCTAGACTTCACGGCGCAGATCTTGCAGAGCGCCTCCCGCGCCCGAAAGGCTTTCTACGAATGCGGGTGGGCGGAGGCTAAGGTCCTGATCCGTCCCTCCGACGGGAAGTTCGAGCGCACGCCGTTCTTCGACGCGATAATCCGCCGCGGCCTGCGCAACAGCACCCGGTTCGACGCCGCCACGCTGACGGAGGACGAGATCGAAGCGCTCGGCATGCACCGGGACGAGACCCTCGGCTTCAAGCTGCAGATCCGACACTTCCGCAGCAGCCGGAAGGAGCTGCCCCCCCAGGGGCGCGGCGGCGGCGCGGTACGCAAGGCCCCGCTGGCCCCGCTCCCGCCGCCGCAGGCGCAGGCGCACAGGCATGGCGGTCGCCCGGCAACCGCCGGTGCCCGCCTCCTGCTTCCGCCGAGCATCGCTCCGCCGCCCACGGCCGGAGCTGGCAACGGGCGCGACCGGGCCGCTCTTCTTGAGCAGCAGCAGCAGCAGCAGCAGCAGCAGCAGCGGCTGTCGTGGGGGGCGGCGGAAGCGGTAGTGGCGGCGGCGGCGGCGGGGCATCCATCCGGCGACCTGCGGTGGGCCGACGAAGCACGCTGGCACCACGCCGCCGCCGCCGCCGCCGGCCCCGGCGCCGGTGCAGTAATGGACGGGAGCAACAACAACAACGGCGGAGGAGGAGAGCGGTGGGCGGCGTGGGACGGCGGTAACCGGTGGATGCCCGGAGAGGAAGGGGCGGGCGCGAACGCCGATGATGGGCACCGCCACAGGCACGCCGGCCACGCCACCCCCCCCTTGCTGCCGGGCCTGGCGCAGGCTCCCTCTCCCGCCGCCGCGGCCGGCCTGACCGCCTCCCGCCGCTCCGCCGCCGTCTGGGAGGGGGCTCCGCACGGGGGAGGCTGGGTGGGGGGTCCGGCGGACATCAGGCAGCAGGGGTCCTCGTGGCACCCGTCGGGTGGCGCTTCCGGAGCCGCGGAGGGGAGGGGGCAAGGGTATGAGAGGATGGCCCACAGCGGTATCGGCGAAGGCGCAGGGGTTGCTCGCGACGCGTTTGCGGGTGACAGACGGCACCAGCACCAGCAACCCGAGGTGGATGTCAGGGGCGGCGGCGGCGGCGGCGGCCTCCGCTTCCACCCGTCGGCTGTTGAGCACCAACAGCACCACGGTAAGCCAGCCGCTCATGATTCATTGTTGTTACTTGTTCTGGAAAAGCATGTATGTACAGCATGTTGTCAATGTGTCTTGCCAACAGTTAAATCGCTCGAGGGGGTTGACTCAACGGAGGCATGTTCACGCATTTTTTTTCTGCATCATGGGGCAGCCAAGCGGGAGTAGGTCGCCGCTGCACCCGGGCTATGTACATGCTTTTTCCTTTTTCTTGAACGCCCCCTGTGGGGCGCCGATCAACCAGGTGCTGACCTGTTCCGACCCCTTCTTGTGTCCGGTGTTCGTCGTCGTTACTCGTTGACTCGACAGCAGGACCGAGCGCCCGGACGGCCGCTCCCCGGGTGATCGGCGGCAGCGCGGTGTCGGCGCCCGGCTTCAGGCATGGGGCCGTCAGCGTCGACCCCGCTCCGGCCGCAGTGGGGGGCACGTCTGCGGACCCTTCCTCCGTCGCGGCGGGCGGCGGCCTGCTCTCTCAGGGGTACCGGCGGCTGGCGGCGATGGCGGACGAACAAGCGGCCGCCGCCGCCGGTGGTGATCAGCTCGACCTGAGCGGCGGACGTCGCGGGGGCGGGGCACACCCGTCGCCGCCGCCGCCGCCGCCGCCGCCGGCCGCTGTCCTGCACCGCCCCCCCCTGCACCACTCTCCCATCGGCAGGCCACCGCTGCCTCACGAGTACGACGCGGTTGCGGAGAGAGAGACGGGCCACCACAAGAGGTCGGCTTCGAGCTTGGTCGGTGCCGGCAGCGGCGGCAGGGACCCTGCTGGTTACTCGCCGCTGGGGGAGAGGGCGGGCCCCCGGCACAGGCAAGTCTCGCGGGAGCTGCCGTTCTCGTCCCTGGCGGGCGGTGACGGCCCGGCCACGAAAAGGAGGCGTCCCTCGGTGGACGGGGGGGACCGCCCTCTCGGCGGCGTGATACAGCAGCAGCAGCAGCAGCAGCAGGTGCGTGGACGGAGCACCTCCAACGAAAGGCTTACGCACGGTAACGGCAGCGCCGCCTCGTGGCCGAGCGGTGCCAGCGGATCGGGGACGCCCCTCCCGCCGGCCGCCGCCCTCGTGTATGACGACGTCCTGGCGCGGGAGTTCGAGGAGAGCGAGAGGGAGCTACTGTCTTCTAGGTATGCGAGCCCTTTTTTTCGTTTTGTTGTTTCTTCAAACTTGGTATTTGTTGCTTGCTTGGTATTCAGGTGGTTGGCGAAGCCTTGTCGCTTGTCGCCCTCGCCCGTCGAGTGGTTTTTCTGCATGGGCTCCTGTTTTTTTTTCCAGAAACGTTGTGTCCTTTTAAGGGCGTGGTATCATCTTGCGCCAGCTACTGTAGTGCCGCGGCCGAAATGCGTAATGACACGTTACGGTGATGGTCGCGTCACCCGACACCAGACAGCAACGGCTTGCTAACCCTGTCTCGCTTCTTGCTTCGCCTTCCTCTTTCTTTTTTTTTGTGCATGCCACAGGGTCGCCGTAGACTTGGCCCAGGCTCGGTTCGAAGAGGCCAGCCGTACGCATCACGCCAAGCGGGAACAGGTCCTAGCCGCCGCCGCCGAGCACCAGAAGCAGCTGTCTATCGCGGCGTCCCACCACCACCAGGGGCAGGAACAGCAGCAGCAGACACCCACGCTTAAGGGGGGCGCCAGCGTTCACTCCCCGGCGCGCTCCAGCGAGGTGGCGGCCGAAACCTCGGCTCCCACCGGCCGAGCCGCCGCCGCCGGCGGTCGTCACGGCGCTGCCAACGACGGCCGCGGTAGCGGCAGCGAGGAGCGGCACAACAGCGACTCTACCGCCGCCTTTCACCACCGGCGGGACTCTGCCCCTCTGGGCCGCCGGTCTCCCGCCGCACGAGGCCGCTCTGAGCGTCCCTCGGAGGCGTACAGCCGGTCACCGTCATTGGAAGCACTAGGACCAGATTCTGCGTCACCGGCGGGGAAGGTCTCCTCCTCGCCTTCGCCTTCGGCCGCCGGCCAGGCGCAGCCCGACTGCGCGGACGAGATGATGGAGGTGAAGCTGGAGGCGGCCCTCCTGTGCGGCATGGGGAGGGCTCCCGTTTCGTCCCGTCAGTTGGCTTCCGCGGCGGCAGGCGCCGCCGTGACCCCGTCGCCGAAGGCCGTCAGCGCCGGCGCCGAGAAGGGCCTCGAGATCGTGTCCCTGGCGGCGGCGGCGGCCGCCGCCGTTTCCTCGTCTTCCGGCGACGGCGATGGCAACGTCGTTGTCCCTCCCCGCTCTTCCTCTTCCTCTTCCTCCCGTGGCGGCATCCGTCGCGACTTGTCGGAGCGGACGCACTCCCCTCTGCCGTCGCTCCCCTGGAAGGGCGGCCACAACCACCACCACCACCAACAACACCAACAACAACACCAACACCACCGGTCGGCGATGGGACAGGCGCCCGGTTCCCCCTCTGCCTGCGGGGAGACCGACAGCGACCACAGCAGCGACAGGGGTTGCGCCGCCATCGAGGACCTCGCTGGGTCCAAGAAGCAGCAGCACCACGAGTTGCAGCGCCCCGTCGTCCCGCGCGCCGTCGGCCGCGGCGGGGCCGGGAGGCTCTCGTGGACCGACTACGGCGATGCCGGCGGTGACAGACGCGCCCCGCCGCTCGCCAAGCTTACGGCCGACGTTCTCGTCTAAGGCGGCGGCGGCGGCGGCGTTAACCGAGGTCTGGTTGGGCGGCGGGTTGTGTGTCAGCGTCTGTTCGCCGGTTGCGCTTGACGATATCCACGGACAGCGTCATGTCGGCTATCATTCAGTACAACGATCTTCGCACCTCGTCCAGTTGCTTGAAATTGGGCGTAAAGTAGGGGTGTGTCGACTTGTGTATTCAATTTGCCGCTTGCTCTACAAGCGCGGTTGTACGTTCCGGTTTTTTAACTTGTTTTTTTTGGGGGGGGTGGTCTCGGGTGTTCCGTGGCTTTATTTGCTGTTGTTTGTTTACGACGGTGGGGGGCGAAGCCGAAGCTGACATTGCTTTGCCCTCCGTGCTGCTACATACGTTAGACATTTTTTTTTTTTTTTTGCAGTCCGGTGCAGGTTAGACTGGCTGGCCCTCCCTGTTGTTTGTGCTTCTTCCGTTCCGTGAATGTCCAGATTTTTGTATCTCGTCGTCCCTTGCGCCTCGGTCTTTTGTCCACCCGTTCTTCACTTCCTGTGGGGGTGGTTCTCATGTCAATCAAACCAGGGAGGTAGCATTTATTTTGCTGTGGCGTGGGGTGTGGCGGGCTTGCGGGGGACGTCGACTGACAGCAGAGCCGCGGTCGTGCTGCGAAGCAAGCGCCCCCAGATGGAAGGAGACTGAGAATTGAAAGTTGTATGGTTTTTTGTAGGTCTAGTTGTTGGGGGCCTTTTCGGACCAAGGGACGTTGTAGAGCGAACGATCACATGCAGCAACAACGGGTAGAGGATAGCTAGCTTCTGTAGTGTTTTGTTTCCTTGTCCTTTTGTGGTGGTCCTGGTCCTCTCCCATTCTCTGTGCACGCGCGTCATAAACTGCGTCTCTGAGCTAGCTGTGTGGCATCGTTTGTCCTACTGTTTCCTTTCTTTTTTTGTTTTGGCCAGACGCCCTTTCCTAGGGCAGGCGGCCGTAGTTCTATCGAGGTTCCACCTCGGGTAGCACCTAGATAAGCCTTCGATACGAAATGCGCTCCAGAGATGAGAAAACAAAGTAGTGTGGGAGCTCTCGAAGAAAAAGGTCGTGGTGTAATTCCTCCGCGATACGGGGCCCTATCTTTTCTTTCTCCGATATACGAAACATGCCAGCAGCAGCGAAAAGCGCCATGATTATGTAAATTTGTCTTGCTGGGGCGGGAGTTGGAGTTGGCCGCCTGGAATCCCCCATGTAGTGCATGCGCCTGAGCGTTGCATACCTCTTCACTCTCAAGCCGTTGTAGGCCACGCAGAGAGTATTTCTAAAGAGTGACTGTGACTTGTGCTCAGCCGCTGTCGTCTCTCCCATTTTTTGTGCTCTTTTTGTCAGACGGCTGTTTCTCTGTTGTGCTGTTGCTGCTGCTGTTACGACGGTATTTTCACGGCAGAAGACTGGCTTGATTTGGGTGTGACTTGTGTGATGGGAGGGAGTGCCCACGCTGTGTCACGGCAAAAGGCGTGATGGCACCCATCAGACTCTGCCGTCGTCCGAGCTTCTGTTTCTCGCTTTTTTCTGGCAATAGAAGAGACTAACTAGCAAGTCTCGCTCCCTCGTTGTGTACTTACGTTGTTGTCGTGGCCGCGGCTCTTGTACGATCGATTGTTAGTCATGAGCAGCCTGTTATTGTTGTTGTTTTCGTCGTTATTGTTTTTGTCATTTGTCGTTTGCCGTATACCGTCGCTGTTTTTCGTTGTGGATGTTGTTGATGTCGTCGCTGTGGTTGTTTCATGTCACAGCAGTGTTTTGTCGTATGCCGTGCGCTGCTCATCGAGTTAATAGTTGGTGACTGCTGTGTGAGCCCTTCGCGCCGCCGGGCTTGTTTTTTGTTTTCAGACAAGTCGACGAGCGCTTGCCTCTTCCTCCTTCTCCTCCTCCTCCATGACGTCATTGGACGTATGGTGCTTTGGGCCGTCGACCCGACCCGGCACCGATCGATCTATTGCCGGCACCTACATTGGAGAAAATAATTGTAGTGGTGTACGGTTTTGCCTGTTGAGGCGATGCATATGCTGATACTACTAGTAGTGGTTTTGGGTCGGGTTTGTGAAAGTGATCATGTTGGTCTTGGCTACCCACCTGAGTCCGTTTTGCATATCAACGCTACTTACCCAAGATCTACGTAGGTTTGTAGGGAATAAACGGGGGTGGCATAGAATGGAATTTCCTTTGGGGGGGGGGGAGGGGAGCTGCTGCTGGGTCATGTTCAGTCGGGTTGGAAGGAGGAAGTGAGAAGCGGCGAGAGGGCATAGGCATGCCTACAATAATAATACGGAGTTTGATTGTTTGGAGTGAGCTATCGTTTGGTAGTCGTATATCGTCCCGTACAGGTAATTTATATGGTGCAAATTCAAGTGAGAGGGAGCAGTCAAAACTTTTTTGGCATTTTTTCTTTGTGATGGGTATGGTTTTCGTGAGTGTTGGGCTGGGGGGGGGGGGGGGTAGTACACAAGAGTCTCGACCTCGTCTATTTGATGTACACCTGTCGCATCGTTGTCGTGGTGGCTGATGGGCGCCACCAGCGGAATAGACTAATCGCGGGTTATGCATACTGAGGCGAGACACGTAGTTTTACGTTTGGCTGCCACATTTTGAGGTCCCAAAGAGCGAAAATATACGACGGGGGCATCTATAATGTTTGATGGGAGGCACTGGGGTTGGTTGTCATAATCCCCGTGGTCGATGTCGTCGAGTCTTGGACTCGAGCTCTTTTTTTACAACTGCCTGTTCAACATCAAATCAGTATTTATGGGTGCTGTTTGCTGTGTGGCAGTATAGATAACCAGTACAGTAGTGCGTTGTGAGTGGTGATGGCGTAGTCACAAAACTTGGGGGAAGAGCTACGGTAGGTAGAAACCCGCAATAGCTCTCACTTTCCAGGCGAGGTGAGTACCGGAAGTCTCCTCTCTGGGGGTTTTATTTGTAAAATCTCAAAAGGTTTGTTGACTGAGCTTGAGTTGTTGACATTTATGGAACGATTGCATGTTGCTTTGCTTTCTAGGAGGAGGGGAGGAAGGGGGTTGGGAATTGCTGAGGCGTTGGGAGGTACGGGGGTTCGGGGGCGCCGCAGATTGGGTGCGGGACTACACCTACCTACCTTGATTCTGATACGGGGTGGCCCGGAGAACAAAGGCAACGAGGAATTAGTGGCGATTTTTGTTTTCATATGCAAGCACCTCTTGCATCGTCATCACGCCAGTTCGCCCAGCTAGGTGCAATATTTGCAATTTTTTTCTTTCTTCTCGGTTCGATTCGAAACACGTCAGTATTGGAGCGCTGCTGCATTTAATTGTTGCTGAGGCGCATGTTGAAGAGCCTTCGAATTTGGATTGTTTTCCCGCCTCTTTTCCTCTATTCGGGACCTTGGTTGTTATTGATAGAGCACGACGTCGGTAGAAATCTGCGTTTGGTAGCGGTAAGGGTTTTTAATATCAAAATAATAAACAAAGCAATAGCAATGCTCCTATGCATAGTCTAAACTATTGAAGAACGACGCGACTTCAACCGGGCGAGAGAAACTGATCCAAACATCTCGATTTGTGCGTCTTCACACATTCAAATTCGTGATATGACCTCTCCGTACCCATGCACCTTGTAAATGGTGGCTGATGATGACCTATCCGGTGAGAATGATGACCCGACAGTTGCACCCACAGGGGGGAAACTCTAAATTGTGTGGCGGCCGCACTTGTGTGTGTGTGCATCGACCCCCAGCTGTCCGGCTGACACATGCAAAGACATCGGAGAGCGAGCGTCGCCGTTGATGCTTGAAACGCCGTTCTTCGGCAAGTCTACTCACAACTCACAAGTGACTCGATGCGGCGCCAGTCACGTGGTTCACGGATCTCCACCCCTTCCTCGATGAGCAAATAATCGTCTTCGCTGCTGATCGCTGTACATCCAGGTGGGTAATTTCTACGTGTTGTATTCTTCGCTACTCCGTAACATGTCCACACCACTGCTCCACACGGAGAGACCAACTGCTACTCGCTGCTGCTGCTGACCTTCATGACGGATGCTCTACGACATGATTACGACATGGTTGCGACAAGATATCTCGCCAAACCGCTTTGAGGAACACCAGGGAAGTTGACAACAACCACCACATTATTTAGATGTATATCATTTGGAAACTTTCCATGCTCTACTGATGATGTTTACCAACACCTAACATAACAAGAAACAAGCTAACATGATACAACCTGAATGGTATGCCCTACCTACCATGCACCAGGTATACCATTCTCATCTACTGCTGTATAAACATCCCTGATACGTTACCCCAAAGGACTGATGATGTACTGCTGTAGATTTTGTTCCACCTTCCATGAATTTTACAATGTTATTCCTAATATGTCTAATAAACCAGCAAGCTGTCAATAGACACTGCGCCGTGTCCCCTGTGAAGGTTACAATTTACAATACACGGCACAACGGAGGCTTTCTCCCCGATATTTTGCCGTTGACCCAGTAGAGAACTACAGGGGATGTATTCTAAAATGTAAGTTACCTATACAGATCAGATGTTTTTGTACTCAGCACCAGCTGGCATCACTGGTATAAATCATCAGTGTATAGACTTAAAAAGACTCGAAATAAGTCCAGTACCCAGCCGGTTTCCCTCCACTCACTGAACAGACTCCACCACATCCCGTTCGACTGTGGGTATATCTCGAATGGGTAGTCTTTCTGTGTGTGTTTTTATTGTTCCTTAAATAAATACATTGTCGTCGTCGATCACATTGCTTCGTTCTTAGCGATCCCATCACGTCCTGTCGTTACCTGAGTCTTCTGTTTGACGTGACGCAACAACAGGCAGCCATCTGGGCACACAGAAGAGCAGCTGTTTTTTTTTGCAGCCCGACGAATGAACGAACGTCGACGTCACCAGATAGTCTACACATTACATGCCGCCTTCATTCACCGTTTCTCTTCTTAAAGACTTCTCCGATTTTCCGACGTACAGCGTATTCTATGACTCGCCTCTAGGTGGTAGCTGGAGCCAGCGGTGTTCGCTCGGCATGTCTCAGCAGCAGGGATGTTTGCCTATACAAGGACGGTCAGAATGACAGATAGTCTACACAACAGATGTTGGCCCCTCGGCTACCGCGTTCTCCTGGACAAGGAAGGACGAAGAGCACTATTTAGTGCTGTAGAATACTACCATCATCCTGTTCGGAAAAATAGGGGGACCACCGCGGAATTCGCGCTTGAATCCGAATGTTCCTTGGGCTTATATTTTCATATTTTGAAAACATTTTCCAACTGCTGTGGTGGTAATTCCTTCCGACGCCTCACACACTCGAGCAGGCATTGCTTGCGCGGGGTCCAAATCAACCGGCAAGATCGGCAAGTAGGCACATCGGGCTTGCACCCAGGAAATGGTCTACTGAGAGAGCAATACTTGTAGACCAAAGGAACAAGGAACAAGCGCCTCCTCCGTAGGTTAGGGACCTCAAGTCCAGAGGAGGGGGGCTATCGCGGGAGGACCGATGAGCCACGAACCACCGCTGCCTCGTCCTTCAGCATGTATCACATCACAATTTTACGCTTCTCGCCTTGCTTGGATGTATATATATATGTGCGGTCGACCGCCGCAAGTTGGTCCTCACCGAAGCACCTCGATCTCAGCCTGAACCCAGCACACCGTGTACACATTCGAATGTTTGTTTGCTACTCGGTGCGGTTTGCTGGGCTCTGCGAACCTCAACGCGTCAGCTGCGTGGGCTGTTGGAGCTTTGAAAACGTCACAGATGGCAGCCGGCTTGGGGGAAACGCTACGCAGCCGGGCTGGTCGAGCTGGCTGGAAAACGCCCGGCTGTTGGTTGCAGCCAGCTCTTGCGCCGGTTTTTGTCAGCGGCCGGTTGGTGTTTTTGCGAGGTTAATTCAGCTAGCTGTCTCCCTCAAACATGGGGGAGCCATGATACACTAACACCACCATCCTCTCTTTTCATCTTGCGTTTCCGTTGGACGACACTGCTGTGCTCTCCCTGGAGGGCAGCCTAGTAGCTTAACTTGTACCATACTAGGCTGTCGCCCTTGTCCGACCGAAAAACAACTTCCACCCCCACCCCAGTATCGCTACAATAGCTTTCGTCAGTTGTTGTAGTAGTTGAGGCCCAGCTTGAACGCGTACTCGGACTTCGTAGCCTCCTGGTCTGCCTTGAGCCACGACAGCTTGTAGTCGCGGTTCTCGGCCGGCAGCGGGTCACCCGCAATCACCGCCTGAACGATAAGAGGATGCGGGTGTTCCAAAACACGCCGTTTGGGACGGGGACGAGGGGGGATTCACGCGATGCAGCCTGTTCACTCGGCGACTCTTAGGGGAATTGCGTGTCCTTCGGCTTGATCGCGGGAAGCACGGAACATTGTGACCGCGCAGCGCATGCATAATTCGGGTCGTCAGGTTGGGCCGTCACTGGTCTGCACTTTCCTTCCTCAAAAAGCGAACGGAAAGTGACAATTTTTCGAGGGGGTTAAATGACTGCCAATCTTTGGAGCGTTACTCCTGCATTTCTCGGTTGCTCATCCTGCCGTTGCTTTTGTCACGGTACTTGGTGACTGACTGCTGCACCTTGACGTCACTACTTGTACCTTTCGTCACCACTTGTACCTTTTCGTCACTAACTGTCCCTTTTACGTGAATAACTGTACCTTTACGCGAATAACTGTACATTTCCGTGATTACCATACGTAACTAATTATGCATTTACGCCAAAACGCATACCGATACCGTGACCGACGGTACCGTTACGTGACCTCTACCCGACTAAGTGTACCTTTACCTTTACGTCCGCCTCGAAGTCGGCGGCCTCGAGCTTGCGTGGATACCGTCGCACCACCTTCCCGTCTTGGTCCAGCAGGAACTTCTCGTAGTTAAGCGTGATGCGCGCGATGCCGTTGGGGTTCTTCAGCGCCCGGCAGAGGTACCTGTTGCCGTCACAATCAAGACCGGCCGGCGGTTACATGCAGTGCCTGCCAGCAGCCTTCGCTAGCTGTGGGGTTAGGGACAGGGACGAACCCCTCTTCTCTATTTCATAGATGAATAACCAAACCCTCGCCAAGGTGGTCCCGTTACACATAGTGCCGTTGACACATACATAGTGCCGTTGACACCGCGTGGCACGGCTGAGAGGCCTGTCCAGCGGCACTTGGCTGCCATCTCTGACTCTTCGGCGTTCTCAGCCTTGTGCTCACGCACAGATTTTTTCATCTCACTCGTCGCTTGGGACACCGCCATCATCGCGTTGGGTTCTACCCCTAACCTGTAGAAGGGGTGGATGGTGTTGCCCACGATGTCGATCTTGTCGAACACCACGGCCTTCGGATACTGACCGAAACCGTAGAACTGGTAGAACTTGATTCGGATCACACGATCCTCGTCCGCCTCGAAAGTCCCCTGTGGTAACAGCAGCGTCAAGCAAGCAAACAAGCAAGCAACGCCGTGTTTGTGGTGGGGGGGGGCACGTCCGTGTCTTGCTGTCATCACCCCAAACACATTGCCAACTCTCGGTTCTTCTTGAATACTGCTACCACAATTCTTGCTGCATGGTGTTTGCTACCAATACCTTGCCGTTCCTTTCCGTGGCTGCCCTCCATCCCCTAGTCCACGTGAACGAAAGAGTGTGTGTGTGGAATACTGTATTATCATACGTCACAGTAAACAGAACCATCAGTTAAAGAGCTACGGATACGGGCAATTCCCGATTCCACAAACCCTGCTGCACAATCGCAATGAATTGCCGTACCCAACATTTCCAACGCTCCGGTCCCCTGCGTGCTTCTTCCCTAGCCTTGTCTTTGATACGACACCGTCGGCCACGAAATCACTCAACAGCGGTCTCCGGATCGCGGCAGAGCAACAACCACTATGCCTATGCCACTGCTCGGCATGACCCCCTCCCTGCCTGCAACCCATCGGGGGCAGAGACTAGTCACCTGATCAGTCGGGAACAGTAGCACGTTCAGCCCGTCCTTGGAGTACTCCGATGCCAGCTTCGTTATCCCAGGCATCTGCAAGGTACGTCAACCGCCGGGGAACAAACGTTGCAGTCGGGCAAGTAGCCAATCAGAACCCGCGTTTCGTGGCACCGTACCGTACACCTAGGAACCAAACCGCGGCTCGCGGTTCATTGGTCCCAACAATACATCCCGTCTAAGAGCAAGCGCAAGGCTTCTGGCATCGCCAGCGCTTGTTCTGGCAGTTCAAGCAACCGAAATCAAACGCGTTCATCGCCTGTATCCTGCGGAACGTATTCGGTTTCCCCGGCAGAATAGCCAGGACGACACTAAACCCGTAACTGCTGCGTCGACATGACCGGTATTGCGAAGTTGTGTTTCGTAAACGCAGCCAACAGCCCGGGTCATTTTTCACCCAGCACGCGTTGACCTATCCGACACTTTTGGTACCACGTGCAGATATATCCAAAACAAACGAGTAGAATGGTCCGCGCAACATATCCCCCGTTACGCTTGGTATGGATGGGTACAGATGACGCCATTCGGCATCGGACGACATTGACATTCCCTTCCATCATTCCAACACCCCATGCGGCAATCTTGGGTTGTAAACCTTCACAACGTTCTTGAGCGCGAGCCAATATCGTTGTCGGTCCGACGGGAAATGCTCATCGCACAACACACTGCTGTACACATCGAGCTGCTGACTGCAGCGGCAAGATCAATACTACTCTGCAGAGGTGAAACTATTACACTGTTGCATAGATTGGGCGGATGATTGGTGTTTTCGCATTCCTTGTTTGGGGCCAAAAGCATAGCAGCGGGGTGGAGAGGGCAAACACCCAACAACAGCAGTCTTATTTCGTACGGAAGGTGTAGCCACAAGCAAGATATTGATTGCAAAACGAAGCTGGACCAATTCTGTGCCCGCGGAGAAGACAGGCACACAACGCAGCAGGACAATTTATGTGCCCGTGACAACCCCCATCACAGATCTTATCACCGTGCGCTACATATCCAGGAACAGCACCGGGAGGTAAGGTGGATGTTCCACTCCACGACCGGCACAAATAAATGTGTATACCGTACAAGGTACAAGGTGATGGTATGACATAAGATACCACACTCCCTGGGCCGATTGTCAAAGCTCGATTTGTCCACAGCAGAAGTATTGTCTTTGCAGCGCTGAAAACGGCGGCGTGGAAGCCTCCTCATCGGGAGGTCTCCGCAAACGCATCGCTTCATGTATGCATCCTCTTCGCCATGGTGCAGCCGAGTTTTTGAATTCGGGCCCGGGGGTGCGGTATATTACGTGATGTCAACTCCACCGGGCAAATTGCCCAGCCGGCGTTTTTTGTTCGGCCTCCCAAGGTGCGATGCTTACACCGCCCCGCGGGTGTACACAGCGGTGGCCTACGCTCTAGTTCAATCACCTGGTGTAGCGCTTCCGGATCGTCAAGCTTGCCGTTGACCACCAGGGTGGCCCGGCTCCCCAGGAACTTGTTCAGCGGGACCGACTTGCCGGTGTAGGGCACCTCGAACCCCAGCTCGCGCAACGACGGTTTGGTCTCCGTCGCGGCCGGCGAAGCCGCAGGGGCAGCTCCTTCAGCTCCCGCCGTTGCGACCACTGCTGTGGCGGCATCCCCAGTGGTGTCTTCCGCGAGGGCACCTCTTGCGCTGGTACCGCCGATCACGATGGCCGCCGCCGCCGCTCCCAGTCCCGACCCGAACTCTAATCTGGTGGATGCTCCGCTGCTGCTGCTGCTGCTGTTGCTGCTGCTACGTCTGCTGCCCGCATCCTGTGACCCCGCCGCGTTTTGCATCGAGAGACGGTAGACGCCAGAGGCGGCGCTTGTTTTTCGATGCAATCGGTGCTCTCCAACGCTGTTGATACGAAGAAGTCCTGCTGCTGCAGCAGGAGCAGGTGCGGTGGTCGCGGCAGGCGACCGCACGGATACGACAAACGCGGACGCTTGTCGGAAACATGCGAGACCTAGGACGACCACCGATGCCCCCATCGTAGACCCGTGAGCCATCATCTGTAGCACTGATCCACGCGTGAATGAACCGGAGGTGAATTCACCTCTTCTCTTTTGCTAGCTCCTCTCCCTCTGCTGTTGCTGTGTGAGCTGTCCTCCTGCTGCCTGGGGCAGCGCTCAGCAAAGCCAACAGAGGCCCCGCGACAAGCATGAATCCTACATTTGTCATCCCTTTGTTGAAACCAGTTTGAAGGGCCCCCTCTCAGCGGCCTTGACCTCACGCTCACACACGACTGCTGTTAGCTGTTAGCTGCAATCTCCAGTGCCAGTCCAGCAATCATGGCGCCAGTACTAAACACGCTCGCGACACTGGCCGTGGTCGCTTCGTCGACGTCGGCCTTCGTTGTCACGCCCGGCGAAGTCCGACCAAGGTCCCTGACGACAGCAGCAGCAGGGTCAACAGCAACTGCACGACGCGTGGGCGGCGGTGCGGACAGCAGCAGCAGACGATCACGAAGAGCACCGGTGGGCTTGCTGCGCTCCTCGGAGACAACGGCGGAGTACGAACTGGACGAGAAGGAGCTCCGCGGGCCTCTCACCCCCGTGGAAGACACCGTCATGGTCAAGGTGGACAAGCAGAAGGCTGTCACGGAGGGTGGGGTTTTCTTGCCCAAGATGAAGAACGTCAAGATCACCAGGGGGACTGTGACGGCGGTGGGAGAGGGGAAGAGGCACTGGGACACCGGGGTCAAGATCCCCATCACGGTAGAGGTCGGCGAGCGCGTGGTGTACGGCAACTTCGACGGGACGTCGGTGCAGTACCAGGGCTCGGAGCACCTGCTCATGAGGGACACCGAGCTCCTCATGGCGTACGAAGGGGAAGAGGTGAACTGTGGGGCGTAGTCTACATACAGAGCGCGCACCTCATCCCATGATCATGATCATGATCATGTGTCTCAGACTAGACATAGATGGAGACCAACCAACCTTGCTGCTCTCTACGGACGAGCAAATTTCCGCAGTCTGGTCTCCCCTGTTGTTGCTGCTGCTTTTGCACCCAAACCGTACAGCTGCTGCCATGCGCGTAGTGGGAGAAATATGCGTGCTTTGTGTCACGTGTAGCAGCACACCGTTACGATTGGTCGATAATATGTTAACAATGAATGAGCGTCATCGAAGGCTACCTGTTGTATTGCCACGATTTCCCGAGCAGCACACAGCGATATCTCCCCCGTGGGTAACAGAGTCAACAAGACAGTTTGGTATCCATCCTGTGCATCTTTTATTTTGTTTGCTCAAGCAGGCCATTGTTAGCATAGAGAGCAAGGGCGAGAGTTGACAAGCTCGATCGAGTCACCGTGTGTCAAAAGGGACAGCAGTGCCGTTGTCTCATGTGCACACAATGGAGCCCGGAAGCAGGCCAACGTTCTTCGCAGATAAAGGAAAAGGGTGATTTGGCTTGTGGGTAGGACGAGAGGAAACCATCATCACCATCCCTAGCCCCCCCCCCCTCCCCCCCCCAGACTACCGTATTTGTGCGTGTTATCGCACCCCCGTGTTAGCGTTTTTCTATGGCGTACTTCTCCACAACCAGGGAGGTATCACCTCCGAAAAGGGTGGTTTTGGAAACATCTCGTCGAGGGCTATCCGGAGAGGTATCAGTTGGTGTTCGCACCCTCCTAGTTGTGGAGAAATACGCTAAATAACACGGGGGTGCGATAACACGCACGATTACGGTATGCCGCTCTCTTGTAGTTGCATTCACCCCACCTTCGCACGGAGCGCCCATCCACCCGAACTTTCCTAGAACGTTTATCCAAGTTATCCCGTGCCCACCACCACCGTGCACTCCCCCTCCCCCCCCCCCCTCGCATTCATTTGTCGTCAGATCACCTTGGACACAGCTCGCATGCTCGGCGACAGGGTGCTTCTGCAGGTGAAAGCCGTACCGAAGGGGACTTCCTCTTCCGCCGCGGGTGTTCTCATCGCCGAGTCAGCCACGCGATCCACCCGCCCTACCGTCGGGCAGGTGGTGAAGGTTGGCCCGGGGAGGATGGTTCCCAGCGGGCTCATGATGCCCATGTACTGCGAGGTCGGGGACTGCGTCAAATACAAGGTGGGTGGTGGTTGACTTTTCCGCTGCTGCTGCTGCTACGGGGACGGGGGACGGGGGGACCATATTGCATCTCCTTACCTCCCCCCCGTTAGGCCGAAACCAAAGAGACACGGTAGGGAGGCAGAGATAGATAGTCCGGAGGCGAGGAACGGGCCTTTTCTCTTCCGTGGCGCATCCTGTCCTAGAGGAAGAAGCGCAAGGAATGACTCGATTTCCGCCTCTCATGCCGGTCGTGTGATGGGAGTTGGGTCCGATCGCTCAAGGGTCCAACGAGTCCGGGCATGGCGGTGCAGGCCATTCCAAAGCTTTTGGGCGCTCATTTTGTTTTTTTTTGGGGGGGGTAGGAACATCGACAACGTAGCCAACATTTTGCCTTGTTTTGCCTTGGGCAAGGAGCGTCCGGCCTCACGCCCTGCCTTGACCTTTCTCAAGCACACGGGCTTGGTGTGTTATATTTGGCTATTGCTGCCTTGCTATTGCTGCACGGCTGTTTGTGCCGATTGTGTCTGTGCTGACTGCTGCTTGAATTGGCTAGAGGCAAGGTTCCGCTGCTGTTGAGGAACATAGGAATTTTGTCATCTCTGACGCCGTTTTCCCTTGTTTGGTTCCACGTATTGCTGCTACAGGGCAGCGTGTTGCCAACGCACGTGACCGTGCTCGTCGATTTCCTGATAGTTGGCTTCAGGCACGTGTTGTATGCATAGCAGGTCTATTAGTACCGCAGCCCTATACGCACCAACACTACAATATGCAATAAAACCTCTCTGACACGCGAAGTTCACGTGAAGATCGCTCAACTCCATTGGAGGTGGAATGAGGCTACACTTGAGGCTTGTCAGACCATCGTGCACCACTCAGCGCCTTAGTCAACGTCTGTTTGGTTTGCTGTGTTCGGCCGTGCTTGTTCGCGGCGATGACTGACAGGACTTCGCGGCAGAAGTGATCCAGATCGAAGGCCTAGAGACGGACGAGTTCGAGCTGGTCTGCATCCGCAACGTCGACATCCTCGCCAAGTGGTGACAAGGACACACACACGCCCTTCGGTTTGGCAGAAAGCCGGAGTAGGGGCGCCGACTCTGCCTCCCGTAACCCTCTTTGGTGCCGTGATACACCGTTGACACGGCGACGCGAGCATAAATGAGTGTTTTGGCGAATTAGTTTTCGTCCGTGGCATGGGGGTTCTCGCCGACGGCGACTACACCGCCGACGGCGTGACACCTTTCGCGTTCGGGAGATGCAGTTAGTTGCCTTGGTCCCCAATTGCGCATGTATCCGTCAAAGTTGAGTGAACTCAAGCGTTGTTTTTTTGGCCGCGGGGTCTCGGGTTTTTGAGCTTGCCATTCGCCGAGAGGCTGTTCCACCATTTTTGTGGTAAAACCGGCAATGAACGCGACCCTTTCTGCAGCAGTAGTTAGCAATGGCTGCGCGGTCGGCAGGGATTTTCTGTTGAACATCAGTACACCTGCAGCAAGTAACACTTTGTTCGTGCTGACGATCGATAGTGGACGTTGGCCTACCGTTGATGGTAGATTGAAAAATATGGAAAAACTACTTTGCAAATTCGACGGCTGGGGGGGACGGATCCATCAACCATGTGCTCAACGTTCGCAATGTTTTCGCGTGGCACCTCGGTGCAAAAATATTCGATGCCCCTATGCAGATGGGGACGCACCTAAGACATGCACCCACAACTTGGCAGTCCCGCCTATACAGACCTGCGTGAGCACCGCTTACCACCCAAGAGCGACCTAGGCCTACTCCAAGCACCACCAACCTAGCACCTACCCACGTCAGGAACCAACCTAGCACCTATCCAAGCAGTAACAACCTAGCTATACACATCGACGACAACCTAGCACCTAAGCCTACCAGCCTAGAATTATCCCATCAACACGAACCTAGCGCCAATGCCCGCCCACCAACCTAGTAGAACTTATCCACCCCGGCGCCAACCTAGCGTGGGTTTGGGGTTGGGGTTAGGGTTAGCGTTAGGGATTTTGGCCGATTCCATGCCCGTGCCAAAGCAGAAATTTGCTGTTTAGGAGTGGGCACATGCCTCGGCATAAAGCCCTAATCTAGCATGACGTCACGTCCAGTATCCGACGGCGCCAAATAACCATGGCCAACCACGATCACATCTACTTCCAAATGCTATACCAATCATCGAAGGAAGAGGACGTTTCTGGAATAGAGCAGAAAAAGAGTCCGAGCCTCGGATCATTTTTGCGCTTTTTTTCCTCCAGGAGTTATTTTTGGTGTATCAAGGTTGTGGGTGCATGGCTTACTTGCGTTCCCTAATCCCGATTTTTTGGGTCCATTCCTTGTACATAATCCACAGTCTAGTCTGCGTGTGTGTGTGTATTTTGTGTTAGCATTGACCGCGCTAACCGGCTGACCAATGAAAAGACGGCAGTCCCAGGGCAGTAGAAAAACCAAATAGAAAGGCCACGATCTGGGACCCTGTGACCGAACGTCATGATGGGGAAGTCTACACTACATCTCTGGATGTAGCAACAACAGGAGAACACGGCACGTGTTTGCCATGGCTGCTACTACTTTGGATGCATGCGCGTTCGTATTGGGTTGTTTTCTTTCATCGTCTTCCTTGCATTTACTACCGTCACTCTCGTCGCCAATATTCCCACTACTATTAGGCAGGTCCTCTCCAGTACTGCGGCGTTTGTTGTGAGGAAGGGCATCTGGTTCAAACCCTTTGCTCTCGTCCACGCCGTGTTCTTCTCCTTCGTCATCGCCTCTTTTTCGTTCTGTTCCCCTTCATTCATCGTCGTCACTCCCAAAATAATTACCATCATACCATCGTTATCGCTTTCACCACAACTACTACTGAAATCCCAACCTATTGGCCGTGGTGAAATTGGTCGATCTGTAGTCCATGACGTTTAAAACCATCACGAGTTCGTACCGACAGAAACGAGCCAACTCGAAGGTAAACCGTCTCCAAATTGTGTCAGTATGGTGAGCCTTGAGGCGAAGCAAGGCTGTTTCATCGTCGAAATCCCCCCTGCAAAATGTTGTGTTGGCCAACACCACCATTCATTGAAAAAGCAGCTAGACCAGTTGAAAGTTCCAGCGTGTGGCTTGCCTTACCTACTGGGAGCTCGATCTTCGAGGGCTGACCCTGGCGTTTGACTCGACTTGTCTATGCTTCTACTTGCAGATGGGTTGAGGATTGTGGCATCTACTACATAGAATGGACTTCGTACATACCTCCTCTTCTTTATCTCATGCGTGTGATCCGGCAGGGATAATCAATTCCATCTTGTAGAGCCCCTGTGTGTGTGCCTTTCCTATTGGCATCGACCGCGCTAACCCGCTGACCAATGAAAAGACGTCAGTCTCAGCGCGGTTGAAAACACGAAACACTTATTCTAAATGCCATGAACTGGGACCCCGCGAGGGGGCGGCATGGGGGGGGCTAGGCTATTCTCCCGGTTAAAGGCAGAAACGGTAGCAACAGAAGAAAACTGCACGTGTCTATCAAGGATGCTACATTGCACTCGAGTGCTTTCACCATCATCCTCCTTGCTTTCACCACCACCACTCTCATCGCCATTTTTACAGCTATTTTTCGGCAGTTCTTCTCTAGCCCTGCGTCGATTGTTGTGGGGAAGGCCATCTGGCCCGAAGATCTTGCTCTCTTCCACTCCGTGTGTGTGTTCGTCCCATCTATTCTGGCGCCGTTTTACAGGCCTTTCGACGAACATACCTGACGTATTAGCCGGGGTCACACAACAAGAGGAAGGTAACACAGCAGGATCTTTTTCCATTATTTTTCCTTGTTTTATTGCCTCACCTTTCCCTTTCGGTGCTCGCCTAGACTACATACAGTCGAACTACTAATAATAACTACCCAACACGCTTCTTCTCCGTTCGTGCACTCTTTCTTCCGGTGCCCACCACGTGAGGAAGCGTTTGCTGACGGTAAGGATATCTGTAGACTATCTGCTAAAAGTTGTTTACAAGTATGAGTGTGTATGGCTGGGACAATTATAGCCTCTAGCAGAAGTCCAACTTGCGTTTATCATGCGCATCTGCGCGCATGTTAACCTAAATGGCGCTCGTGTTCGCACGTGATTCATCATGTCCTACTTCGTACTTGACTACTTTTGGCGTCACCACAGCACGACAGCGCTACTCCTCCTGGCGGATTCGAACGAGGATACCTACAAGACCGCCAGGAACTACATGTAGACTCTTAGCGTTTGCAAGAAGAGTGAGATGTACTAGTCCCGACGGCGGAGTGGAGTAGTGAGCGGCATCACGTACGGCACCCTTGCACGCTTGCACGCCCTTATGATTTTGTCGGGATATCAGGCACTACAGCAGTACAGCAGCAGCAACATGGTAGGCGAACAGAACCAGTTCTACAGTACCTACATGTGTACAAACTACAAACGAGTTCTAAACGGAACCTTTGGCTAATCGCGTCTCCAGTGTCCAGTCAGTGTCCGTCCGTGTCCAGTATCCAGTAACACTGTTGCTGGGCGGTGTGCTTCTGTAGATTGGGTGTGTACGCTGCCGTCGTGCCCCAAGAAACCTCGAAAACTGCAAGGATGGAGGTCACTGCTTCCCACGCTCAGCTCTCCCAATCGCAATGGGGAAGCGGGAAGAAAACGGGTGGTAGCTGGCGGGGAAACTCTTTCGGTGGAGAAAATCTGGGCGAGACGGAAGAAAGAACCAAAAACAACGGGATGATTTGCATGGCAGGCGGCAAAACGTTTACCCACCGACTACAGCAGTACTACCCCTAGAGTGTTCATTACTGCTCTTCCTGTCCTCCACGTGCGCCCACCAGCACTTTGCTGAAAGCCTCCCGCTTCGTCCTCCCTCGCTCTACTATTGAACCACTGACGACGACGCATTGAGGGCTTGGATATGCCACCGCTGAGGGACTTCTCTGATACACCTGCCATGGTGAGCTTTTTCAAAACGGAACCTCCGATCTAGCAGTTCCCCCTGCTGTGTGTAGGCGGCTTGCGTGACATGTGCGTCGTGAATCCTTGCATCGGCGGTGCGACTGAAGGCCTCTGCCACACCGTGTAGGACTGTAGACAGTTTGTCGAGACGCCATCAGCGAAGATGTATGAACGCCATTTTCGTACGACAATATAATGTATGTACATACTCTAGATCGGGAGTAGCTGCTCGTGAGACACCACTGCGAGGAGTGTTTTGTTTTTATTCATCTTGTTCATGTGGATGGCAGATACATTATTACCCTGTACGCTTCGAACACACATGCAAACCAATAGTGCAGCCGCACGGGGTCCTCGGTAGAACGCCTGTGGGCCGAGGTAGTAGGTTCCCGTCTCTGTACAAGACTGCCAGGGCCCTGAGCTTCACACGGAGACCACGATGGCTCCGCCTCAAGCTCACCCTTACCTTACCCTCGCTAGCCTCACTTTACCAGCTCGGCACTTCCTCGCCTACCAAACAGCATAGGAAACTGACGCCATAATACAGCTGTGGCGACGTAAGGGTAAGGCCACGCTTCACGAACCCTTCGACTCATTCGGCTAGAACTTACTGTAACGACCGTGGTACCTTTTGTGGCAGCTGGTCGCACCCTTGTAGCCAGGGCGAGCCATTACTGTCTGGAAATTTCTGTCATAGTTTTTTCGCGAGCGGCATCCGACAAGCACTCTCTGATCCTTTTCCAAGTCTTCACTCGGTTAGTGCACGTGGTCTCGAAGGATCCATGTGGCTCTAGAGTGTTGCTGGTGCCGTACGGATGCCCTGATCTCTATGTTGACCCACGTTTGTCTCATCGATTTCTTCATCAGAGCATGGCCCCTTCGGCTGGTCAAGATTTGGAGCTCGGCAGCCACAGTGGGCCAGCGGAGCCCGTGGGCAAACTCTGGGACTCCCCCGGCCAGGAGAAGGTGGGAAACGTACCGCACCATCTGAACCGTTCGTGATTTGGTATCTTGCGTCACCCACGGTACTTGGGAATTGTACCAGAGGGCACCAGTTATGTACCACCAAACGCAATTCTTTCGCGGTTGCTCGCGTTTGACCCACACCCTGCCGCCGAAACCAACGACAAAAACCCTTCAGGTGGACTTCCGTTTTCGCGACGTGCGCTATAGCGTAGAGGTGTCCAAAACGAAGGCGTCTCTGATGGGGGGCGAGGCCGGGGTGAAGCAGATCCTGAAGGGCGTCAGCGGAGCGGTGGAGTCTGGGCAGATCTTGGCCATCATCGGCTCTAGCGGAGCGGGCAAGACATCCCTGCTCGACGTGCTCGTCGGAAAGGTACATGTGTCATGGCGCGGCAGGGTGCGAGGGCGAGAGGGCCGTAGTGCTAAGACAACGTAGACCAGGATCGTGACAGCATGTGCGGAAGATCATGCTGCCCTTGCTCAAATCTGATTCCTATCAAATGCTGCTCTTTTTGGTAATCGTGAAATGCTCTTTCCGCCCTTCTGAATGCGACGGCGGTTGTTTAAGGCGAAAACGAAAGTCAACGCGCCAGTGCCTCCCTCCCACCGTCACCCGTCGACTTGTCTCGGTTCCCCCCCATTGTCCTCCCTCCCTTTCGTGTTTCGCCCGCACCCTCCAACACGACCTGATTCCCGTGGGGGGGTGGACACGCGACAAACAGGTATCAGCCGGCACGAAGGGGCTGGACATCACGGGAGATGTAACCGTCAACGGGAAGTCGATGTCCAAGTCCTTCTTCTTGGAGAACGCCGCTTACGTTCCTCAGGAAGACCGCCTGTGGAGTGCTCTCACAGGTGACAGGCTAGTCTGGAGAAAAATACAAAACATTCTTTCAAAATCCCAAACATTGGCTTGATTGATTTTCTACCACAACAACCGCTCCCAAAGGGTTCTCACACCAGCACTAAGACAGGATGGGAAACATCTTTTCCAACCAAAGCGGTTGTGCAGAACGTGCCTCTCTTGAACCAGTTTGATCCAGTACGCTGTCCGAGAGTCTCCTGAAGATGATCTGTGGACAGTTCTCTCTCGGAAAACCAACGACCGTAAATGAAGAGATATTGCAAGAAATTAATAAGAAAATTAGTAAGTATCCCACCCACCCACCCCTTGCCGGCCGGGCCTCCTTGTACCTAAGTTCGGGAAAACCTGCGTTGTCTCGAGGAGAGTGCAACAAGCGCGTGGACAAGGTGCTCGCCAGCTTGGGGCTCGAGGGATGCCAGCACACCAAGGTATCGTCGCCGCCCTAGCACGACAAGCAGCGTTGCGACGCCGAGATTTCTCTTCCTCCTCCCCGACCGCAGCCAGGCTTGTAGGATATATTTTCACTGGGAAATTGTTCATTTCGAGAGCTGCCAACAAATATGTCAACAAAAAACGAACCAAGCGCAGCATCATACGAAAATAGCGATATGGTGTCATTGGCTATGAAACGCGGTTCTGGTAGAACACACCCGTACTTCACCCTCCAACCTCCATTCCTTGTGTTTTTTGTTCGGAACTTGTCACTGTTACAAAAATGGAAAACAGGTCGGCAACGTCTTTCTTAAGGGTGTTTCCGGCGGCCAGAAGCGGCGCACTTCGATTGGCGTCGAGCTCGTCGTCCAGCGCAAGATTCTCTTCCTGGGTGAGTTACATTACACGATACACTTTTCTGTTTTTGATGGTTTCATCATACGCTAATAGTGCATATACGCTGTCGGGCTGCTGTCGGTTGACGCGCTGTTCCTAACGATCGATGCACGCGGGACAGGGGTTGAGGTTTTGTCCTGCATAGTTGTAGAATGCACCTACGTAGCTTGCAACGGTAGGGTATCAGACATGTTTCGTGCATCTCGACGGACTTCTGTCTGGCTCTCTCACCTCATGCTCCCTCCCAATCCTTCCTTAGATGAACCGACGTCAGGACTGGACGCGGCTTCTGCCTCCGAGATCATGGCTTTGCTAAAGCGCCTGGCGTCCGAGACCGGTGTGATCATCATCACGAGCGTGCACCAACCGTCCAGCCGCGTGTTCAACAGTTTCGATCAGGTGAATGAAACGTACCCCACCGAGGTCTTGGGAACGCCAATGGCTGAAAACAAAAGCAGTGGGTATAACCTTGGGGCTAATGAGGCAGAAATTCCTTTCATGAACCTGAGATGGGCACATCGGATTCATCTCGGTTCGCAACGCCCACAGTTCCGTCCCAACAACCACGTCGATGCCTCGTTTCTCGGAACACTATATTTCGTGCCGCATCGACCATTTTTGACCGCTCACGCTGAGTAATGTCGACCCAGACTCTCTGGCGCGGAATGAACGCTGCTCCACCAACGCCTACGATGACGTCACTTGTTGAGGCAGGTGATTCTGTTGACGATGGGGCAGACGGCCTACTTCGGGCCGGCGGTGGACAGCCTCCAACACTTCGCTAGCTTGGGGCACGAGCCGCAGGGCCTGGTGAACCCGGCAGACTACCTTCTAGAGGTACTACTGTTCCTCTTGAGAACCATCGAGACGAATATTCTATCGCCACTCCAAAATCACCATCCTGACTCTCCCTCTAGAGGTACTGCACCTCATAGGACCCATCGAGAAATACGGTCTAGGTGTACCTCTAGTTGTAGCTCTAAGAACCGATGAGATGTCCCTCATACAGATACTCCACAGCAGTAGCCTATGTACATGCGTCCAAAGGCGTAGGTTGTATTGCCCGTGTAAAAAAAGAACTTACCAATTCAGAACGGATTTCTCGTCAACGTTATCTGGGATGCTTGTGGTCAAGCCCCTCGTTGATTGGCTGAGGACATCAGAGCTTTCTTTGTTGTTTTCCGAGTATTTTGAATAGTGGTACTTCATCGCTTTGCATTCTCAAGGAGGGTGTTCCACACCGTCTGGCGAGGCGCGAGGTTCTTGGGTTCTTGGGAGCACCTTCCCTCTCCTTCCTCCATAAAATACGACAGAGTTAGCTTCGTACACGATACACGGTAGGCACCCCTTGGTGCCCCAAACCGTAGAATCGTTCTAACGATAACCCTTGTTTCCATCCCTCCCATCTTGTTGGCTGCCATGCCCATCCAGATCACCAACTCCGACTTCAGCGATAAAAAGGCCGTGCAGCGGCTGGCCGATGTGTGGAAGGAGACGCCGGCGTGCCGAGCGCTAAACGCTCGTATTGAAGCACCCCTCTCTCCGCCACTGACGGAGGGATCAAAGGCTGGCTGGTTCTCCGCTGCCCTGCAGCTCCGTGAACTTGTCGCCAGGGCCTCGATGAACAGCGTGAGGGACCCCGCCGCCTACGCCCTGAGGTACGTCTTGAGAGCGGACGAACATGTGATTTGGGAGACAAATGACACTGTTAACGCTAAACGGCGGGTTACCAATGGAACGATTCTTGATCTGAGCACAGGAGGCTCTAATGGAAACGATTCTTGCTCTGAGCACAAGGAGAGAGTTGCCCGGTGTCCCACCCAAGCCATCAACCGCGTTGGGGATGCCGAATTCGAGTGAACCCCGGGGATCGCTTTCCCGCTCACAGACAGTTCTACACATAACTTACGACGGCTTAGGTTCGGAATAGGGATACGGAGCGCTGTCACCAGCGCAAAGGGCGCGAGACTCGTTGTTGGGGTACTATCGAACCACTCGCAGAGCAGGAGAGGCGTCGCTTCCTTTATCAATCGAGGCCCGTGGTTTGAAGCCAGTTGTGCTGGGGACTGTTCCGTTGTTGTATCTGGATATCAAATCGGCTATGGACTAGAAAACACGCCCTGCGTAGATCATCCTGTCAGTATTTCGCGGTGTGAACAGTATCCGTTATTATTCAGTACTTATCATGTTCCCGGCCCGGCATGCGTGAGTGTTCAAGAATGGCCGGTTCTCGAAACCGTTTCCACACTTGCGCCAACCGTCCTCTCGGGGGAGCGCATCGAGACCGCGTTCGAAAGTCTTCCTTGTTTTCTCGGCCGACGATGGTGCAGACTAACACAACACAAAAGGCGTCTCCGCTATGGCCGCCTAGCGGACGGACCTTACCTACTTTAGTTGTGTTGAAAGAGCTGACAAATGTTTCCACCGGTGGAGACCATGAGCAGCACCTCACATCGCCATCTTCCTCTCGCGCCACCCCCCCACCCGTTGCCGCGCCCTTGCCCTATTCTCCTGCGCTCTACTCTCCCGCGCTCCCTTTGGCAAGGCTGGTGCTGTACGTGTTCATGTCCTTCTTCCTCGGCAGCGTGTGAGTGACATGTCCCTTTAGACTACCGTTGGCGTGCGTGAAAATCTCTGTACGTGCAATGGGTCTGCACCGTTGGGAGTGAGCTTGAGCAACGGTAACGCTCGATACGATGGTTGGACGAGGCGGACCATCCCGCCGTCATGCCATTTCTTCGGGAAGGCTGTGATACCGTACGTCGGCGTAAGTGTTCCTCACGTTCCGTGTAGCGGCATCTCCTCTAGGTTCCGCTTCGGCGTGTAACGCTCAAACCAAGCACCTACGATAGATTCTGACCTTAACAAACGTGTTTCCTCAACCGTATCAACGTACACCGAGCAGGTACTACCAGGTGGAGAACACCCAGGAGGACATCCTCAACCGGGTGTTTCTGATCCTCTGGATCAATGCCTTCAACTCGTGTGAGTGTTGGTCCTTTTCGGTTCCAAGTCGCAACGTCGCCTTGGAGATCGCCATGTTTCCCCCGAGAAACATCACCCTGCTTTCGTTTGACATCGTGGTTGTGTCCGTGTGCGTGTATATCGATCTGTGTTTCGGCGTGCCTGCTTTTCCAATAGCCGCCTTCGGACTGAACAGCATCCACATGCAACGATTCAATATCAGCTGGCTACTTTGGCGCCGGCAGCTGACAGCTCCACTACATACGTGTACTCTGCACGCTCTGATGTCTGCTTTTCTGTCCTACGGCCAAAGTCTCGACAGTTTCGGCTTCAATCATCTCGCATTCCGTGCCCTACGCGGCTCTCGAGTTTAGCTTAAAGCGCCAACAACAAGCAACCCAGCCGCCGTGTTCCACGTCCACACTCCTCTTTGTTGGTCGGTCGATGTTTGTCCTCCTCGCCAGTAATAGAAACCTGTTGTGACATTCCTCGTTTGTTGTATCAGACATGGACATGGCGGCCATTCCCGTCTTCGAGCAGGAGAAGGACGCGGTGGTGAAAGAAGTACAGGCAAGAAGCCAATGAACTGTTCTGAGTTGTCTTTCAGGCACACTGACTGGGGAGAGTGTGTCGGCGTGCGGTGGGAATTTCGCGTGACGATTCACCTACTGTACTCCCCTATTCGTGTGAGGTGGAGCACTCAGCAGCGTTCACCTTGGGAAGTCTATGGTGTACGGAACGCTCCCGCACTAATCTGTGGTGTACGGAACGCTCCCGCACTAATCTCTGGTGTACGGAACGCTCCCGCACTACTCTGTGGTGTACGGAACACTCCCGCACTAGTCTCTGGTGTACGGAACGCTCCCGCACTAATCTCTTGTATTGCGCGAGACCCATTTCATTTTTTCTGTGGGGTATCCAACTGTCGACTACCAATATGGGGTAGGTTTCAGTGCAGGAATCTAGTTTGTCGAGCTCTTAGAGGCTGCGTTTCTTTACTGTCTACCACTTGTTGGTGACGCGCGCTCTGTACAGGACATGTGAACACATGTTCGGGAGAATTCGTTTAAGGTGCTCCCAGTGATGCATATAATCTCCCTGATTTGGGGTCGTGGGCGGGGACAAGGGGCAAACCGCGTTGGCGCCGGTACAGACATACTGAGGAATCGCACACGATTAGAGTTCCTTTTTTGGGATGCATCAACTCACTGCCCTGCCCCGCGTGTGCCACAAACACATTTGTTTTCCAAACACGCTTGACCTAATAACACCTCCTCCTTCCTTACGACGTCGCACTATTTTTTTCCCGTCGCGCCCAACAGAACGGGCAGTACGGGATAGCGGGGTTCTGTGTCGCCAATGCGGTCGTGCAAGCTCCCTTCGTGTTGTTGATCGCGTTGTGCTGCAGCACGCCCGTGTACTGGATCACTGACATGAACGACGACCCTGTGAGGTACGTACACAACAGGGCTATGATGTCGCAGGAAGAACATGACACGGGTGCCGTGGAAGCTGATTCGAAGATTGTGCGGTTGCTGTTGGGGGGTGGCTGTGAACGATGAGCTGTTGTGCCAGGTCAAACCATGCTGGGGACGGCAAACATACCTTCAACTGGCGAAGCCTTCTGCCTCTGAGCTCATCGGAGTGTACGGGCGGAGAGTGCGCGTGTCCTCCGAAAAAGGTTGAGCTTTGTTCATGTCGCTCACCCCTCTCATTGATCCTCGTGTCCTGCGATCCCGCCGTCGATTTTGATTGGTCAGGTATCTCCAGTTCGTGCTGGTGATGTTCCTCATGCTGTTCGTCGTCGAGAGCCTGGCCCAGCTTGTTGGAGTCGTTGTCAAGGTGAGACGCAATGTGTAGTCGCGTGCAGTTATGTTCAAGCAAATAGGCACAATGTAGTAGTCCCATGACTGAATGCGCAATTTGGGTTTGAGCAAATCTACCGCATGTAGATACCGGGCAGGGGATCGTCTTCCACGGAACACGACAATTCCGGTGCGAATCCGGTGTGGCCAATTCGTACACACTCTTCTAGGTCAACGACCATTTCCTGAACTCTCGTAGATAAACGGAACCACACGGGATCTCTTTGCACCTGTAATACATACGTGGCCGGCTCGTTGGTTTCGTTTGTCCCTTCGGGAGGGCAGCCTCCATGACTACTACAACACGGAGCGTCAATACTCCTGTTGCAGGAGTTCCAGGCATCCGTAGCGCATCCCTTTGCTTAAACTTCTTCTTTGGCCTAGAGGAGGCCATCCCTCTCGACTATTTTCTAGTACCCGTTCTTCTTTCCCCTGCACTACCACATGGACTGGAACGTCTTTATTGTCGGGGTGAATTCCGCCACCAATAAGCGCAACGCACTGGCGAGCGTGTAGATAATATTGTCGAGAATGGGGAAATCCAACTAGACTACTGTAATGCATTTTAGAATGCAAGATACGTTGCTCAAGACCAGCGGCGGCTCGAGGGTTGAAACCTGTGGAACTCAGGTTTCTTTGTTTGTGACGCCCTCGTCCCACCTCCCGTTCCTCGATGCCTATCTCCGGTGACTGCGTTGGGCCTGGACTCCTCTGGGACACTATTCAGAACTTCGTCCTCGGGATCGCCGTTTTCGCCAGCTTTCTGTCCATGTTCTTCATCTTCAACGGGTAAGTAGGATATCATCCTTTGGCAGTTTTATTGATTTTCTCATAGAATGAACCGAAAAGAAGAGTATTCTCCTCCCTTGGTTGTCCCTTGAAAAGCGTTTGGAGGTGGCCGTATCCATTGGAATTGTGTCCGCCGTGGTGATTACTCCTCCTGCTCCTCCTCCTGCTCCCCCTCCTCCTGCTCCTCCTCCTGCTCTTCCTCCTCCTGCTCCCCCTCCTCCTCCTCCTCCTCCTCCTCCTAATTTGGCAAAGCAAACTTGCCTATAACAGTGAAGGTCGAAAACTCTTGCGATTCATCAAGGGTTCCGATGTATCACATCGCTTCGTGCCCTATCTGTAGCACCTGGTCCTCACAGGAGGACCCCTTTGCTGACCTAACCCGACCATTCTACCTGTGGAAACACATTGGGGTTGACCGGTGTGGGTGTCATGGTAACCACAGTGCAGTCGAGGGTTTTGGAAAAGCCATATCTACTTCCCAAGATACATCGCAAGACCCCCGTCTTTCGGCATGGCAGCTAGCTTTTCATTCATGTCCATGCCAGGAAACACCTTTGACTCAGCATGCCTGAAGAATACATGAGCGCTTTGCAACCCGTGCCTATGATGAGAGCTCAGCTGCAATAGTAGTGCGGCTCGATTCAATCGCTGCTATAATAATTCATTTGCACGTGACATCCACACTACTGTAACTTTCACCCCCACTTTCCCTCCGCCTTGCCACAACCAACCTATCGGTGGCCACCAGGTTCTTCATCGACCCCGACAACATGCCCGACTTTTGGCTGTGGCTCTACTGGATATCTCCTCTCAGGTGCGAAATGCCGCGTAATGCGCAGCAGCATCTATTATAGTACACAAGTACGGGTGGCATATGCAGGCATTTCGACCTGCGCGGGGGGGTAGCTCTTCCTCCCCTTTTTCACGAGGGATAGGATAGCATCCCAAAGCCTTCCCGACCCCCGTCCTCAAACGTAACACCGAGCATTACGACGTTTCGTACTAAAGATAATGTCTCCAACTCTCCTCACACGGTGGTTTTTAAGCCAACACCTCGAAAAAATACCTCCTGGTTCGCCCCTTTGCATCAGGTACTCGTGGGAGGCGATGGCGAAGATCGTCATCGACGGCCAGACCTACGCAGGGTTGGATACCTGTGTCACCTGCTACGGCACGACCGGCGAGCAGGCAAGCACGACCTTCGTTGTAGAATTGCACATGCATGGGTTGGTCACAATGAGAACGAACACCCAGACCTTGCTGAGTCCGATATCCAGCGTGCGTCGCACAACTCTCGGCATAAGTGTCTCTCAACACATCCCTCTCTGAACATATTGATTTGATATGCATGCTTGTACTCTGTTCTTAGAGCATACTTCGATCCCGTTGTTTGATTGATTCTCGTGGTGGTTTCGTGTCCGATTCGCAACTCCTCCTCCGCCCATTCCGTGTCAACCAACCGTGTACTGTACGCGCTCGGTACGACAGGTGCTGGACTCGCTTAGCAACGGCGGGACTAACCTTAACGACGTGAGCATCGCGGCGTGGTGCGGCGCGCTGGTTGGTTTGGCCCTGGTCTGGAGGGTGATCCACTACGTGGCCCTCAAGCGTTCCATTTTTTGAAGCCTGACGGCCTCGGGTTCGTGTGACCATGGGTATGTGTGAGCTTGTACTTTCGTCCCATGTGGTCCTGGCACCAATCTACAACTTCCCTGTAGGCCTTTGCCTTGGGGGAAAGGTAACACGGATCGTGTATGGCGGCGAGATACCAACTGCGTGTGATTCTTCGTGGCACCATTTGTCCAGTTGGCGCTGTTGAAGTTGATGGTGGTGGATTTGGAGCGCCTAATCTCGGCACGGTTCCATTGGCAGCACTCTTGACTATTTGTCGTGCGGACTCGCAGTCGGCAATGATAATCATTATGATGGCTTCCCCCGAACAGGCGCAGGTGATTGCGCCCCACCCCCCCAATCCAATCCTTCCCAAGGAGCAAGCGCATTTGAGTTCTACAGTCAGCCTTGCCTTGTTCAGATGGAAGAACCTGTATAGCATAAAATAACGTGTCTTCGCTTCGCGGCGGCTGCTAGTCTGCAGCCCTAGCCGCTTCGATAATAGTCGCCCGACGTTGCGAAAACAGGGTTCTATAAATTTGAGGAACGCTGCCAGAGTTCGTTCGGGCCGAGGTTTCCCATGCGAGAAGGAGGGCTGAGATAGGTGATCTCGGGGCGAAACACACAATAATGCACTATCAATCTTCAACATTTTTTCTGTGTTGTTCGTTTGCCGATATTGGGAGTTGGAAAGAGAGGCATGGAGTCGGAATCAATATTTCATTCTTGCCACAAGTATTTTGTCGTCTACTGTTGTTACTCGTATGTTGAGGTAGCCGGCATGTCGTTTCACCTTATTCTCCCTTCGGACGTGAAAAGGTGCCCGTGAGATGGAAAAATGACCACCACAGCAAGCTTCACAGAAGTTGTTTTTGCTTGAGAGGGGGGTGGGGTATCGCGAGTCTGTCCAATTTTGAGGTGCACAGGCCCTGTTCTTATTGTTGTCTGGATGGGGGCCTCTCTGTTTCCTCTTGTGGTAATAAGCTGTTTTTTCTGCATGTTGCTGTTTTTATCGCCTTCCGGGTTCGATCGTCCACCAGTCTATCTTGACTGAGGGTTTTCTGCGTCAACATATAAGTTTAGTTTCCGTTCAATTTTTTGAGGTGTGTGTGTGCCCTTTTGGGGGTAGTTGGTCTGTGACTACAGAAGGGGCCCGAGTCCGGTGGACCAGTAGATATTATTAGAAGGTACGGAGTAGAGACCGGAACGACTTTGAAATGCGAAGACAACAACCTAACAACAACAAGCCGCAGGTATTGGTTTTTGATTCATATGACTTTAGTTTTCTGTGTGCGCACCTCAGCGGAGCACGTACGGTGCAGCGGGGAACCTGTGAACTTGCTTGTCTTCTACGGTTGTTTTATTTTTATTGTTCTATTAGGCATTGTGATAAATCAACGCGACGGGTATCGTCGGCGTTGCCTGTCTGAAGCTGATTTGTTTTTTGCGGGTTTATTTACATAGCTGTTGGCTGAGTGTACTGCGTTGTTGGTAGATCACCAACCGACGGCGGATGGAAACAAGAAAAGGAACACAACTGCTCGGGGAACGACCATACATAGAACCAAGTTGGTCACGGCAACACTACAAACCCATTGGTAGTCTACCGTGGAAGCATGTCTGTCCAAGAGAAAGGTTGCGGTGCTACACGTAGAGAAATTCGCTTGTCACTTGCTCGGTCAGAAAGTCACACCACCTTGTTGCCGTGGCCACAGGCCAAGTACCCAAAGGAAGTACAAGCACCCAAAGGAAGCATATCGACTAAAAAAGAAACCCAGAAAGGTACATAACATATGGAAAAACGAGGAACATCTTGTTGCTAATGATGATCCATCATATACCGTTTAGTAAAATCTGGGCTACAACCGAATTCAAATTCGGCACGAAAATGAATGGAGGCGTCTGCCCTGATAATATGTTGAGAAATGCATACAGCCGATCATTGTCTTTCTCCCTACCGTGAATGAGAGAACACCGGGGAGAGAGAGAAATTTGAGAGATGCCTGGAACGAGGGCCAACCCGGCACCCCAGACACCGGCACCCGCGGCGGCTGCCGTTCCCGCGCCAGCCGCGGCGGCCGCGCCGGCGGCGGCAGCGCCGGTCCGGCCCACTCCGACGCGCACGTCGGCTCGGTTTGTGGCGGCGACCACCCCCCGCGCGGACTTGCCATGCTTTACCACGGCAGGTTCTTTGGGGGCGGCGCCTTCGCTAGATTTGGCGAGGGTTGTCTGGCCCGACGGGTCAAGGGCAGACGTAGGCGACCGTGGAGTCGCCGTATACCAGGCCGCGTGGAGTCAGAGCTGCAGTCGCTCATCGCCCGTGGATGCGTCGCAAAATGGGGCGATGTCAAGGGACCCGCTGGCCCGGCCCGGCCCCGTCTGATCATGGCTCTGTCGGTGGAAGAAACTAAGCCACGGCTAATCTATGACGCACGACCGCTGAACCAGTTTTTCAAGCGTATGCCTTTTTCCATAGACACAGTAGCACGGGCGGCTAACGTGGCGTCGCCAGGGTGTTACATGACCTCCCTGGATGATTCGAGTGCTTTCCACCACATCCTCATCCGGCCTTCTTCCTGGCCCCTGCTCGGCTTCGAGTACGGGGGCGTGGATTACGTTTGGTGCGTCCTCCCATTTGGACTGAGCATTAGCCCGTTCGTCTACCACACCCTCAGCGAGGCGAAAGCAGCATTTCTCCGCTCCTTGGGAAATCCGGCGTTGGCATACCTGGAAGACTCCTTCCTTACCAACCTCGAATCCACCCAGGGCCAAACAGCGCGGGAGCAGTGGCTGGCGGCTTGCGAAGCCGCGCATATTTCCGTCTTGGTATCTTGCTTCTGCGGTAACTTCCTATCGCCGCAGAAGTGCGACTGGCGACCGACAACGGTCCAAAAATACCTAGGCATGTTGTGCGACTCTACCACAGCAACATTTCGGGTGCCGTAAGACAAGCTGGACGCCGTGCACGACATCTTGCAAGAATCCCTAGCCGCGGGCAACATCTCCTTTCGGACTCTTCAACGGGTAGCCGGAAAAGTCACGAGCATGACGGTGGCCATCCGACCGGCCTCTCTGTATACCCAGGCGATGTTCGCCGCTTTGGCAGCTCTGGAGCGATCCACCCTGCGGTTGGTGGATCTTTTCAAAGACTCGAGCGCAGATTTGGCGGGGGAAATGCGTAAGTGGCTGGACATTACGGCTACCACGCACGAGGGCCCGTGGCAGCGGGCGCGACATTTCGCAGCAGCCCTCACCAAAGGGGCATCGGACGCGTCATCGGTGGCGTGGGGAGGAGTCCTGTACGCCGCGACAGACCCTTTCGAAGCGGGAGGGGTGTTCCCCCCGGAGTGGATGTCGACGCACATCAACCTGAAGGAGATGTATGCGCTGTATCACTTGCGGCCTCAATTCTGCCAACGACACCCGGATTGTCTCCGTCGGGCACAAGTGTTCGTAGACGTCGACAACCAATCCGTCGTGGGCGCTTTCAACCGGGGTCGGGCGAAGAACCGCGCTACACACGAGCTGCTTATTCGCCTGTTTGATCTCCAGATAGAGTATGACTTTCTTTTGTCCCTGAAGTGGGTCCCTACCGCGGAGAACGGTGTGGCGGACGCCATCTCGAGGCCATCACGGGAGACAATCATCCGACTTGGGCCGAATGTTTTCCGGAAGCTGTGGCAGGAGCTGGGTCCGTTCAACATAGACTTAATGGCTTGTACATCGTCAGCACAGCGTTCGTTGTCGTCCGGAGGGGCGCTTCCATTCTTTTCGCGGTACCATTGTGCCGGGTCTGCGGGCGTGGACGTCTTTGCGCAGAATGTGGCAGTCTTACCGGGCGGCCTTGTACCAGCGTTTGGCTTCTGTTTCCCCCCCCCAGTCATGGCGGGACACGTAGTCCAACACCTCGCCGAATGTCGAGCGCGCGCGGTAGTGCTCCTTCCGAGTGTTAAGGCTTACTGGTTCCCCCGCGTAATTTCAGCGACAACTCGCTCTGTTGAGGTCGCTGGCATTAATGAAAGCGGAGTGTTCGTATGGCCCTCCGCGGAGGGCGTTCTCAAGACGTGGAGATACCCACGTTGGGCGATGATGGCATACGAAGTAGATTTCCGTCAAACATGAATTGTGGTGTACTGCATTTGCTTATTTCGGTCGGTGGATGTCCGCCCACTGATTGGTCTTTTGTTGTTTTGCTTGGTTCGGCACAGACTGCTCCGGCCGCAGGGGTAGCCTCCGTCCGGGACCTGGTTAACTTCCCGCGTTGCGTCCACTGCAACCAAGAGAATGTCGCTCAGTTCAACTTTTGCTGGGAGTGTGGTGCTCGACCGCTCCTCGGTGCCCCTTCTCCGCGCCTCGGCTCCGGGGCACCCGTTCTCATCGATCGCCCTAAACTGCTCGCTCGCCGGGTGCAAATGGAGTCGGCTATGCGCGGGCGGGCCGGGGAAGTCCGAAAACACCGGATGGCCGATGAATTCGACCTCTTTTTGCTATCGTATTCCGGCGGAAGCAAAGGGTGGGTTCACGCTTCCCCGGACGACGTAGTCGATTGGTTTAGCTATCTGGACTCCCAGGGAAAGGGGACGAAGTTGGTTCACGATATCACATGCGCGGGAGTGGGGGCGAGCGATCGCCGGAGCTGCTCCCCGGGCGCGACGTGCGCAAAGCGATACGGTGCCGAGTCTCTCCGAAAGGGTTTCTGCTCTAAGTTAAAGATGGCGTATAAGGAACAGCTGGGGAGAGGGGATGACTGGAACCCCACGCTGGGGTTGGGGAATCCGTGTGCTAGTCCGATGGGTAGACGCGTACCTCACGTTCACCACCGAGGAACAGAAGCGGGTTAGGGTGTAACCGCGAAGCAAGCAGCGCCGCTTCTGGAGGACACCCTCGGGGAGTTGCTGCCGCATATGCGTCTGCGAGCGCTTGCTTCCGACTCTACGGCGGAACGCATCGCCATCACTCGGGATGTCGCTCTCTTTTCACTTGCGTACCATTCTATGCGTCGGTGGTTTGACCTCTCCTTTACGTTGGGGTCGCAGGTACTCCGGCTGCCGGAGTCGCGGGGGTTCATTTTCAACTTCCTCTTTGGAAAGACTTTGCGGGCTTCGACCGAAGCCATTGTAGTGCTTGCTAGCGCGAACCGGGACGTATGTGCCGTTCGAGCCGTGGCGGAGTACATCCTCGCCGCACAACAGGTAGGCTGGGATTTGTCATCGGGCTACCTGTTCCCGTCGGTTCTGGACGGGTAGCCGAGGGAACTCGAAGCTAGTGGCGACCCAGATGACGTCGCCCCTTCAGGCGCACCTCAGGGCGGCCAGTCTGCCCGCCCATTTTTCCATGCACTCGTTCCGAGTGGGAGGGTCGTTGAGCTGGTCCATGGGCGGCTCCGCCATAGAAGAGATCATGCAGATGGGGGGTTGGAAAACGGAGTCGATGACGAAGTATTACGTAGAGCCGTCTTCCAAACGGCAGCGGGCGGCCAATTATACGGCCACCAACGAGGAGTCATTATCGCCGGCGTTCGAATCCGACTTCGCCGCCTGCGCTGGCCGTAAGCCGTCGTAATTATCCACCAAGCGGAATACACGAAAGTTTGGGTGAATCAACCAGGCTCCAGGCCAGTGGCCAAGGACAACACACGGCTAGGAAAGTATGGGTGGGACCACGGGCCGGAGCTGGAGGCCTCATCCCAAAAATCCAACACTTACATTAAATGATCCTAGGCCAAGAGCAAAATACAACAGTAAAATCTGGGCTACAACCGAATTCAAATTCGGCACGAAAATGAATGGAGGCGTCTGCCCTGATAATATGTTGAGAAACGCATACAGCCGATCATTGTCTTTCTCCCTACCGTGAATACGAGAGAACACCGGGTAGGAGAGGAAGAAATTTGAGACCGCCCACCCTCCCTACTCTTAAAGCTTGATGCTTCTGGATCATTTGCAGATTCATTACCGCGCCGACCACAGTCGGCGCGATAGTGCATCCATGGGACTACCGGCCTCAGAGCTGGAGGCCTCATCCCAAAATCCAATAATTACAGTAAATGATCCTAGGCCAAGAGCAAAATACAACAGTATTTTTAATTATTGTAACATGCAACTTGGTTGCTCGTCGATTCACGGTATGCGCTTTCGTCGTATCATGGCTTATTGGCACTACAGTATGTCACATTGGAAACTCACTTGGCCCACACACCTTCATTTACTAAGCTACCGCCTGCAATGACCATTTTACAGGCGGACCGTTGGTTGCTCACAAGCGGACGTTGAGGTTCGATTTTTCATTTTGCCGACATCGTGAAAATGTTCGAGACAAAGAGCAAATGCAACAGAACAGCAGCAACTAGAGTTCATACTGCGGTTGCTTGTGTGAGGCGAAAGGGCAATCTGCAGAGTGTAGCGTGCCCCAAACAAGGTCTGAGGGAGGAACGGGTTGTTGGGCCTCAGGTTGGTGGGACCTACAGTTTTCCCAAACGGCCCACCACGGGGAACCCATGGGCTGCCCATGGGCACCCCGTTTGGCCCGTGGGCAGCCC